TATAATTTCAGCTATCAATTGTCCAAATAATAGTTAAATTAAGTACATTATGAAAATATTTTTAATATTATTATTATATTAAAAATATTTTAATAAATTTATATATCAGAATAGACCTTAAAAAACCTTTAATTAAAAATAAATTGCAACCGAGTTGGGCAGAGGCCAGGAAACCTTCCCTCTTTAGTACATTGAGAAAAGAACGAAAAAACTACGAAACCCTAGAAATTCTGAAGAAGAGATACTGCGAGTCTGCCACCAGACACAGGGAGCGACTGCCGTTGATGGACAATGTTCCGGCCGAAGTCGTCTCGAAGCGAAACAGAGTGGAACAATCCTGCGATTCCACGAGAAGAAACACCACGAGAAGAAACACCACGAGCAGAATCCAACTGCCTATGGATCTGGTCTGCCCTGTCTTGGAGCGGCTGCCGTTGATCGACGTTCTCCGGGCAAAACTCGTCTCTCATGCCTGGAACTCAGGGGCAGACGCCGTCCTCTCTTCCAAGCCCCATTCGCGTCTCCTCAAATCCCCATGGCTCCTGCTTCCTCCAAAACGAGATGGAGAAGGTGGCTACACCAGCTATCCAAACTGCGCCGGCAGTGATTCTTATCGCATCATGAATCTGGAAGAAAACATGGTTTACGATCTGAAGAAGTCAACAGCGGACCTGATTTCTGAGTTTGCCTGCATTGGATCCTCACACGTGTGGCTGATTTTATCCGACTACACAACGTTATCTCCCTTCCTCTTCAACCTTTTCACCGAGGCCCGGATACAACTTCCTTCATTCAAAACTCTGCTCGGCATATCCGAAATTGAGGAAGATGGTGGAGGCAAAATTCTCTGGAAAGGAAAATGGATGATCCAGGCCGAGGTAGAGCTACGCCGATGTTTTGTATCAAGAGTCCTTTTGACAGCCGAACCAACTGGAGGAGATTATGCTGTGGTTTTGTTATTGGACTCTGGAGATCTTATTTATTATAAGAATGGAGACATTTCGTGGACACCATTCTATGATTCAGGATTTCCGCCCCGTACTGTAGTGGAGGATATTATGTGCTATGAAAACAAGCTCCATGTCCTGACTGTTGATGGTGCTATTTATACTTGGGATTTAGGGAGTGGTTATCCAG